CCTATGCGAGACCCTTGTTTGTTCGCGTCATGGACCAAATACCTCGAACCTCAACCTTTAAGATGAAAAAACGTGAACTCATGTTGGAAGGATTTAATATTGAAAAATTCAAGGATCCTTTGTACTACCTCAATAGCGATGGTATTTATCGCCCAATAACCCAACCACAATTCGAAGCCTTAAAGAATGGTACAGCCGGATTATGAGAAACCACAAAAGCAAATGAAAGACTTTTTATATATCGCATCGTATGTTTTTTTTACAGCTGTAATTTCATTGCATATGAGTATATATGTATGTGATTATAGGTAGTATGTTTATAAGCAATTGCCATTAAGTAGAGTCATCCTATTAAACAAATAATTGATTAGAGAACAAATTATTGTTGTAATATATAAAAAATAAATATAAAATTATTATTAGCCATAGAGTAGTGAGATCGTGAAATATTGGCGTTGCCATATTTTGTTATATTTTTTCAAATTATTAATATTTTTTTTTTTTTGTTATTTATGTTTTAAAAATCGTTAAATCAGTGCACCAAAAAAGACAATAAATTATATATGACATTAATATTGAAACATAATTTTGAAAATATACACGGTAAGTACAAATTACTTCTATTTCGGGATTTAACTTAGGTGAACTGCCAAGAATATGGATTTTTTTCCAAAAAAGAAGCTAAAGGACATTAATTAAAGGCAAACATATCAGAAAAAGTAATGGAATTTACGAAAGAAAATTGAAGCCATTATATTGTGCATCGGACTATCCGATATGGAAAAGGATGGTCGGGTTATTTTGGACTTTTGGATTTCATCGACAACAAAATTGAGATACCAAAACCCTTGGAAAATGGAGCAGTAGAGGCTTCTGAAAGAGATCATAGGAAAAGGTCGAGTTTTATCGCAAAGCAAATTCATATGCGAAGACAGTTATAACTGATATCATAACAGATCAGATATACCAAACAGTTATGCATAAGAAACGTGCATGTGAAACCTGTAGGCCTGTGGGATGTACTCAAATTCAGATTGAGGACTAAAGGAGAAAAAATTTTGTCGGATATGATACTTATTTTACCCACTTCATCTGAAATGTTCCGTTCAAGTTGGATGATGCTTACATGGGAAGAAAATAAATCGTTGGATGAGTTGCTGATGCAAATATGCTTTTCAAAAAGGTTTAACCGATCCCAGGATAACCAGGAGTCATTATTTGTGTAGCTCAAAAGAAATTGTAGAGACGAGGATGAGAAGATATTTACAAAGAAAGAGGACTCCTGCTTTTACTGTAAGAAGAAGGGACACAGGGTAAATAACTGCCGAAAATGGATAGAAGATCTGTGAAGAATTCTGCCTCCATTAAAGTTAATACCCCCTCTTAGTACTTATCCGAAGGAACAAAAAGTATATGGAAGTGATTGGTGGATTGACAATGATTTCGAAATGTATTAAGAATTTTCGAAGTTCAATGAAACTCAAGACATGCAAGCAGCTGGAAAAGAAATTATTAAAGCATATCTACAAAAAATTATGAATATTGCTTGTACTCTTTAGGTATTTTTGTTGTCCTAAGCGAATTTCCAATATAATCTTTCACTTAACTTCTTTGAAATGAAAAAAATATAGTCTTATTTTTTCATTTCAAAGAGTGGTTGTAATTTAACACTACGGGACTTAAGTGGATAAACAACTAGTTCACAGATCATTTTCAATATAAACCCATGTTTTTACATAACCTCCTTAGAAAGGTGAAGCATCATTTTCGATGGGTTCAAGTTGTTAGCCAACATGAGTTTTTGTAATTTTGTTTTCTTCTAGCAGCATAGACCCTTATTAGGTATTTTGTAAGATCATATCTTTGCGGATAAAAAGTTCGGACCGCCCGAATTTACCGAAGTTTGTTTTTGTTTTTACCTTTTTTTCTAGTCATTCTACTGGTTCCATTTATATCGCATTTAAGGAGATCTTTCTTATTTTATAGTTTGGTTTGTGGTCGGAAATTTTATTTTCGAGCAAAGCCAATAATCCTAATTCATACTAGGGTCAGATATGTAGTATTTCTAATTGCTTTGGAATTTTGTGATCCGCATGTTCCATTGATCGACAATCATGCCCGCCATCGAAAAGGAGGATTTTCTTTAATTGCAAAAAAAAACAACAACAAGCCAACAACAAAAAATGCTTGCCAATTTATTTTCTTCTTCGTCTTCTTTAAGTCTTCAAATACATGTTGAAAATCATCGAAATTTGAAATCGAGAATGTAAATATAAACTCTTGTGTATAGTCTCGAGTCCGGAGTGAAATGTTGTTACAGTTTTTCAATAAAAAGTCCCATTGAGTATCCAGTTACATGCTGTAATACAATTTGATGATATGGTTTGTCGTTTTCAGTTTTTCACGTCCGTAGCTCTAGTACTAAAGCTTCAATTAAAAACTCACCTCACAGACTATTGTCGATGAAGACCAAACATTGGTATGTCTCCAAAAGTTTGACCCGATCCTCGGTATTTTGAAGTTATCAGTTATCAAACAATTGTCTTAACTTAAACATTTTGATAATTTTTTAATAGTTTTTTCGTCATTTTTATGAAATCCGATACTATCAGAGCATTGACCGTACTCAACGTCTTTTGTAAATATTGGTTTCGGCCGAATCAAATGCCAAATTACATACTCTTAGGTTGCAAATCTGGGATATAAACTTCAATTTAGATAAGGCTATGTATGTGTATCAACTTACATTTAAAATTACTTATAGATATATAAAATTAGATAAAAAAGCGCTAAGTACGAGCGGGCCATATTTTTGATCCGAAGCGAATAATCCTGGGATCATTATAAAAGGAACATAGCAAAAAAAAAGAATTTGTCTATAAATGGAGGAATAATGAAGTTATAGCTTATGAAGTATGACAGATTTAATACAGATCATCTACAACGAAAACGAAATTATATAGATGACAGCCAGTTAAAATAGATAATTGTCCTCTAAAAAAGACAGGGCACCACAAACTTGCTGGGAAGAAGTATTTTATTCATCAGGTATTTCAAATTATGCGGGTAGGTGTGGTCTACATCGGTCAAAACATGGACCTAGATCAAAATAGTTTTGCCAAAAACGTTGTGAATCTCCAAGAACCCAGAATTTCGCCCACTTCCAGCTTCATGCTAGTTCTAAAATTAAATGTAAGTTCTAAAATTAAGTTTAAGATATTGAAAAAAATCTCTAGCGTTATCTGGTCTAATCTAAGAATGTTTGATATAAATAAGTATATATGAGTTATTATACCACACATTATTTAGCAATTCTTCATTTATTGAGGTCGTATCCATTTTTATCCAATTTATTTATTTATTTAGAAATATGGAAGCATTAGGGACTAATAAAATCTTACACAATACTTATTTATACCTCAAAGGGAAAAGCATAAATCAAAGGACGGTTATCAAAAAAATATATATATATAAAAGGAATTTTAATTGTATAGCCAAATTTTCCAACTATCCATAGCCGGCCGAAGACTGGCTATTTTGAAGAGGAATTTAATGTGATATACTTTCAAAAGTGTATGATTTATAAACATAATGTTATGAACACAAAATTCCATAATGTTAGTCCCAATTTAGATTAAGCGAGTTTACTTGCGGCAAGTCTTTGTTTGTAGGAGAGAGGGGCAAGGGGTATAGAAATGAAAAAAAAATTGCTCGTACCGACAATTTTCTGGCAATTCGTTTTGTGTATTTCGTATTTGTTGACATTTTATATATATTTAAATGTGAAAAAACAACAAAGAAAACAATTTTTTGGAAACCGAATTGCCTTGTATAGACGCATGGAACAAGTTCAAAAGAGAACGATAAAAATTGCCGCAAGTAAACTCGCCTAATATAAATCAGGACTTATGAACACAAAATTTTCGGAACTTTAGAAGCCCATATCTCGAGAAGTATGGAATTCCACCTGTGGAAGAGTTGCAGGTATATATTTTCGTGTTCAGGAAGATGCGACTAACCTCTGATATTAATTTCAGGAAAATTTGAGATGACCTTCCAAACACAGCATGCTTTTGTCTGATAACAAAGGTGTCGGCAAAAATTTGTTCATGTCAAAATTATTGGCTACAGATTTTTTGCCTATATAGGTCTATTTCAATAGGTGTAGCTCGAAATTAGCCGGAATTCTGAAAATTCTTGTTAAGGAAATTAAATCGAGTATAGATATATTACATGGTATAATAATAGAAGGTAACAGCAAGTGTTTTTGTACAAAAATCGATACAACAACCACATGGAAATTTGTTGTTGTAAGTTCTACTAGTGTCAACTCATTTGACAGAAAAATGTAAACAAACAAACAAATTATCATCAAATTATTTTTATTTTGAAAATGAAATATTTTCGAATCCTCAAAATAAAAATTGAAAAACATGAATGAAAATCTATCAAATTTATATTTCTATCGCTTCCACATCTTTCCTATAATTGAGCCAGTGCCATATATATGTGTACAACATATGAAAATGCTGGGAATAGCGAGTTATTCCTTGAAGAAAGATTTGCTTCCTCAAACTTTCCCAGCAGCCAGATTGAGTAAATTGAATACGGGAGCACATTTAATAAAGAACAATTTCAAATTGTATGCGTTCCCAATTTTCCTGTTGGGTGATTTTTAAAAACATAATTTGTCAAATTCATATAGACACTAGTATTACGATGGAATCAAATCAGCTGGGACTTGCTGTTACCTTTTATAATTGTACCATGGATATATTAATTAATTCGCTTATTATACCGAACGTAGTGAAACTTTAATATAGATAAATTAATGAAATTGAAATAGTTCCAATCGTCCCTTCCACTGAACCGTTCACTTGAACTACTTCGTCATCTGTGTATTTGGTATTCATTCCTCAAAAACTTAGTGGCGATTGTTTATATTTTATTTTGTAAAAATAATTTAGACTATCACAAGCGATTCCAACTAAACCGCAAAAATGGAAAAGTTGGAGGCATTGAAAATGTCCTCCATGAGGCGTACTAATATTCTGGATAGGCCACTGTCAAAGGGGAAATCAGAAGTATCTCAAAGGTATTAACAACAACATTGTTTATCAATTGGATTTACGCCCAGACAACCCTCTTACAAACGAACTAACTTTAGTTTTTTTCTTTTCCATGTATTCCAATTGAATTCCTACTAATTTTCTAATTGGAAAGTATTGTGGCCTTGTTGTTCAGCGAAATTGTTCAGTATTGTCAAAGCAAAGTGTATACGGTGCCAGAACTGCAGAATCGGTAAGCAAGGATGATATTGGAAAAATAATAAATAATGAGTGTTTTGTGGTTTCCCTAGTCTACATGAATTGGGCCAGGATGTGGGCACCCGTGTTATTGATCTCTATTTTATGCGAGAACGAAGTTCGAAAAGAGAAACCAAATTGACGCAAATGCTGCTGTTTGTCAAGACCACCGTGTGGAAGAATCTATTTGGCAAAGAAGCAGAAAAACTAGAACATGCCAACGACGATGAAAGGACCTACTATATCATTGAGAAACAGCCATTGGTGAACACCTATATTAGTGTGCCCAAAGACAAAGGAACACTGAATTGTGCCAACTTCACAGCGGGAATAGTGGAGGCTGTTTTAACACACTGTGGATTTGTAAGAATAATTTGTTGTGGTATTTAGTTCTTTAACACTATTAAATTTGTATCCCTTCCTTCGCAGCCCTGCAAAGTGACAGCCCATTGGCATAAGGGTACCACCTATATGATCAAATTCGAAGATTTTGTTATAGCCCGTGACAAACAATTAGAGGAGAAATAAATTAATTAAATAAAACACTCAAATAGTTATTTTTTTGTTTTCTTTTAGAAATACACAATTAGTCTAACCAATGCACTTAAGTTTTTATTGTTTATTTACTCTTCGAATATTATGACTACAACACTTCTATTTCCAAAAACAAACTGAAATTGGATAACTTCTTAAATGAATTTGAATAGACGATCTTTGTAGGCCACCTCTCCATTGCGATATTGTTTTTCACGACCGTCGCGCTCAGCTTTCATGGCCCAAGCGTACAGGATAATTGGCAGTACAACAACACCCATGCCTACACGGAATGCATGACCGGTTGGCTTGAAATGCTCAAAGTTGCTGACACGCATGGCTTGGTAGCGGGCCAAACCGGCATCAAACTGCAAAGAAATACACCAAAAAAATCACATATTAGTAAAAGGGGTTCATGGGACAGTTCGCATATTCTGAAGCTTTCAGTTTCTTTTTGCTATAACATAAACATATGACATAACAAGTCGTCGTCGGTAGTCAAACTTACAATGGTGCCGCCTTCACCTGTGGCATGACGGAAGGGATTTGTTGAGTTCTTCAAGTATTCGGCACGCAATTTCATTGTCTGCTCATGTTTCCTGAGCAAGAAATCTTTTTCAGCTTTGGACATATCACCCATTTTGTGTGAATATCGATTAAACCTACTGCTGCTGGGCCAAATAGAGTCGGTCGTGCTTCTATTGCAATGAATGTCAAATCCAATTGTCAAAACATCTATAGAAAATGTCGATAATGCAGTGCGATTATCTGTCAAATGCGCATGTCGGTGCGGCAGTAGCCGAAGTGGTAGTGTTACCACTAAGTCAGAAAATTGAAAATTTTACCATATGTAGCCCTCTTGATTACAATAATTTGAATTTTTGGGGGAAATTATTGGGTAACAAAATTTGTAATAGACCTACTTTTGAATCTAACCCTACTTTCGTCTAAATGCGGACTTTTATTTTTTATTCCAAATTTCTTCGCCCTATGGCCGGGAAGCTCAGAACAGGTGAATTTTCTTCTAATATTCGGACTTCGGCTATTTATATGGTATCCACATTACTCTGGTCCCACGTTGCGGTAACCCTAATCGGCAATTCTCTCTCTCTGTGCCTTGTTCTTCACAATACGCTTTTTAAGCGGTGTCCATCACATCTCATTCGTAAATTTTCCTATTTCCATTTTAAGTTCCATCTTTACCCAGCTTTTTTTCGTTCTCCCCCATTTGGTAGCTGGTGGAACGTTTTTCGTTTGCCTTCAGTCGGTGGTGAACTTCGCGACTGGCGTGCAAACTGCAAACGAACGAAGTAATACATGGTGGAATAAAAAAGGACTTGTTAATGGATTTAATAACAATCAATTATTCTGCGGAAAATAAACAACTATCGGTGAAGCCAATGAGTTATTCCAGAGGTAAGCGCGATGAGCCCCCCTTCAGTTATCTTCCCAAGTCCAAAATGTGAAATATATCCCAAGAAATGAAAAAAGTTGCATGCATGTTCGTTCTCCTCTCTCTCTGTGTATTATATCAAAAAGTTCCCGTGTATCTTTGCTCCTGCCTGCTTGCTTGCTTTCTAGCTTTGCCTATCCATCCGACCGCCCACCCACCTGCCCGTCCACACGCCCGCCCGCCTTATTCCTGTGTGCGATGACTTTTTATCAACGACGTCTGTACTTGTACTTACTTGCGCCTCTGCGATGCGATGATGTACACATGCATAGTGTTGAGTTGCATTGGATGTGCGCTTCTTTTTCTGGGTGGGGGTGTAAGGAAAGTGCTCTATTGTTTCCTAGCTGGCGTTCCCCAGATACAGGATATTTTTTTAGTTGATTAAATACGACGACCAAAAGCAAAAGCAACAACAACGAAATAGTACTATAATTTTGAAAATTGATGGACTTTTGATAGATTATGTGTTCGGAGTGAATGAAGTAGTAGTGCAATTAATGTGTATGGTTGTGATTTTTGATAATACCCAGGCCCATAACAGAGTAACCGAACGAAAGAAAGAACATGAGCCAATGGGAAGAAGGTATGTGTGCAAAAAAAGAAGATATGGTCCTGTGACCATACATTTATAACCTAAAAGCAACTAAAATGAATTGTAGTGTTTGTGTCCACAACAAAATTAATTTAATTTGCAAATTTAACAAATGAAAAAAATCAGAAAAACTGCAATTGTGTGATTGAAAAAAAAACTGTGCTCATTCGTGTGAAAACAAGTGTTCGCAACTCTTTAAAGCAATTGTAAACATTGCATACCCACATTACACGTCCTGGCGCCCACCCACCCCACTGGAGGTCATTTACAGCGGGAAAAACTCTGCATATATAAATTATCAATCAGCCCTGAAACAAATGCGCCGTGTTCCCTCGTCGTTAATTAAAAAAGGAAAACAATGTTGGTCGGTCACCCTTATCTCACAGTGCCGCCACCACTACTATCATGCCACATTGCTTGCCACCCATTTACCAATCCACCAAATCAGCCAAACAACCCACACCCACCCAATAAACCACTGCCAGTCAGTCAGTCAGCCAACAAGCCTGCCAGCTACCAGCCACCCATCGACAATCAGCCAACCCAACCAACCAAACACCCAACCACCCGCCCAATGCATTAAACAACTACGGGAATATAAATTGCGACATGTGCTAGTGTTAGTTTACCAAAACATTCATTCTACTGTTGAAAGTAACCATCATCATCGAGCATCTTTTCTCTCGGAATGCACCCCATGATATACATATTTAAAATAATCCATCCACCGCGCCTACAATTGTTTGCCTAGTGCTTATCGTAAATATTTGGTATATTAGAGTCGTTTTTTCGTTTTTTTTGTTCTTTCCTCCTTCCTTTTTTTACTCTTCAAGCAGCATCTAAGCATCTCCTAGTTTTTTTATTCTCTTCTCAGATTTTAATAATTTCTTTCTTTTTTATTCTGTAATGAATTTAATTAAAAACTTTAATAAGTGATAAGTAAAGGCTAACAGCACAGCGATGGTAACAACGTTAGCCACAAACAAACATACTCCTAAATATACATAGACGAAGTAGAAACCGGCAAATAGAAAAAATGAGGAATATTATAGATTTACATTAAAGAGATTTGATGATGGTACACATAGTTATGCATTGCCGGACGATTTGATGTATAGATTTTTAATCTATGTTATTAATTATATTGTGGATTATTGTTGAGGTATGGCCATGGTGATGAATTGTCTTCAAACATGACCGTCAGAGTGGGTGTATTCAGTGCATTATCTTTATATTGGGGTTATAAGCAAATAAATGGTCCTATGCCAACAATATTTTCCTGGGATGTCTTGTAACCCACTCATCACGAGAAATATTTAATTTTAGCCATTTTTGATGGTAGTTTTTACTAAAATGCCCTCAATAGAAGTTACCCCCATGTTGCAATGTAATGAATATTGAATCACGTTATATAGGAAATATACCAATAATTGTGGACATATGCCGATCATTTGTTAAATGAGGATTTTGTAACCCGCAACGCATCGGAAATGAACGAATTTCAGTAAGTTTTGTTACAAAATCTCTAAATCCTTAAGCAAAAAACGTAGATCGGTAATAATAATTTTTCGTAGGAAATTGAAGAGTACTGTTATATGGAGGCTAAACCTAAATATGGGCAGATATTAATTACTTCTGGTACCCAATGACAGACAGTATATGGTAGAGTACGGTTATGGAGACAACCGCAATAAACCCTGTTACTACGTCGGGGTCTTTTGATGACCCAAATCGTATTTATCATCACTCTATTTCTCACTACCAAGTGTATGAGTTATTGAAATGTTCTGAATTCGGTCTTTTAAGACCAAGTAGATACACATAAAACGCTAGGGTCATTTTGCGACCTCTAATCGAAAGATCATAAGGGGATCATGTCGTTGTATTTATTTAACTATATTTCACGCGTATATGCATTTACGTTAGGCCACAGAGAAAATCAGAAAACTTGTTTATATTTGAACCATTATTACCAGTAGTCTGGAAAGGCTTGCAAATTCTTTGCTTTTCCAGACTTACATATATCATCTTAAAGACACTTTATTCTTTTCCGGAACATATGCCCATTCAATTTATATATTCCTTGGCTGATGGACCAGTGTCAACATTTTAAAATTTCTAAATCTTAACACTTTAACAAACGTTAAATCACATCCGATTATGGGATTCATCGGCCAATTTCTATAAAGTGTCAACTATTTGAAAATGTGTAATTCCAATATCTAGCGAATGGAATGCGCGATTTGATCCACACTTTTCCCCATGCCCGTCGTAATATTTTTACCAATCCTCCTATTGGTGGACCTATTGGTCCATTCCTTCTGGCACCTAACCCACAGATGTTTTTTTTTAACATGTTAAAGCGATGTTTAGTTCAGCCCAGCCGAACTTTTTATACCCTCCACCATGATGATGACATTGAAAATATGTAAAATTATGGCGGCTCCTAAGAGAAAACACATGTTATGATAGGAAGATGAATACCTGATAGGAAGCTAGCGTTTAATGGAGCTATACCAAATTATAGCATATTCGGTTGAAAAAAGTATATAAAATTCTCAAATACCGAATATTGGGATGTACCCTTATATGAAACTTGGGAACCCGGAAACTTGGATCAATATTCATAATTTTTGGTATGGACTTGAACTATACAAAGAGAACCCGAAATATCAACGTGCCCAAGATCTCCAAAATACTGAATATTGCTAAAAAAAAACTTGAGTCAAAATTAATATTTTTTAGTATGGAAATGTGCTATACAATAAGAACTCTAAATACCAAATTATAGTCATTCGGTGGAAACACGTGTAAAAAATCGCCTAAATGCCGAATATTGGGGGTACCATTATATGGGGGCTACCTTGAAACTTGGGTCAATGTCCTAGCAGAGTTTGAAATTCACACTAACCTTAGATTTAGTACAACTATCGGGTATATAGGTTCGTCATCTCTTGTAAATCCCCCACAAAAGACAGGTTTAGTGGATACTACATTCGATATGTCATGGATTGAGGTTATCCATCTATCGGCAACACCTACTAACACTTTTTTATTTGTTTATTATATACTTCTGCTCCACTTCTATCTCAACAAAATGTGTTTCAAAATATTACCCCATCAGACCAAGGGATTTTTTCTAACAAGGTAGCAGGTTAATAAAATATTGGCAAATATTCATATTTCGAATAGAATCCGAAAAATCAACTTACAGAGAAATCGGCTGTAACACGTGTTCAAAAAACCCTGGGTAATTGCTTATAGTATTTTGTAGGGAGATATATAGGTAACAACGACGGTATCCCAAAAGTACCGCAAAAAGTTCTGTTTTTATATGATGTCGCGATTTCGGCAGTATCTACATTTATGGGATACCGTTATTGGGACAATGAGAATCCAAAAATTGACTGTAATTCGGTTGAAGAAGCTACCGTAAATACCGAAAATTGAGGTATACTTTCGGATAAGGAAGTCTAATCGGGATCTATATGATCCATGATATGAACATGATCTATCTGCACACAAATCGCAAATCTATGCAATGTTTGGAAAATATCTTAATTCGTTAAGAAGTAAAGACGTAGAATATTACGTAGACTAAGAATGTATGTATAATTTATAGGGTCGGCGTGAGTGACGAACGGAAAAACAGCCAATACCATACCTAAACATACCCCTAATACTATCTATGTAGAGGGCATTACAATTTATCATTTTTTCTGTAGGGTTATGTAAAGTCTTGAGTAACGGAAAAAATCTTCTTCCATTCAGGTATGTGTATCTATTGGCTGTGTAAATATTAAGATGTGCAAAATTTAGACCAAATTTAATTTTCCTCATATGAGATTCGCTGTGGGTCAATAAATTCCATTTTCGGATTCAATCGGATATTTAAAAAATATGGAAGGAATATTACGATGTACAGAAGATAAATCAAATCGGTTACAACCTTTGTGAGTTATCGCCTATGTCAGTCTGTAAGATAACAGACGGATTGACAGATGCTTTTAAATCGACTCCAAATGTCAGAAATAGATTTCGGCCAAAGACAACTAGGGTCTAAAACTACTTATTCGATGAGGTAAATTATTGTTCATGATCGGCTCTGCAGAATCTAATAACATTTTAACATATTCGTAATAAGATGTCCAATTGCATTCGGAAACCAATTATTGTTTTATTATTGACCTAAACTCGAAAAAGTAAAAAAAGACAATAAGATACAAATTATATTTATAAAGTAAATTGATTATTGTAAAAGAAAACGAAAAACACCCTTCGAAAAGGAATACGCCCCCAGGAAATATAAACTTTTAATTTGAAAAATAAACCCTGTAATTAGTAAAAAAAGCAAAACCACCTTTACCATAATTACTTAGATTTTACTCTTCTTATCTCTATAAAAACATAAGAATACGTACATAAGTAATAAATAGAAATTATATATAAACAAATACAATGCTACTACCCTCTTTGTCCTTGCAAAATGGACAAAGCAAACAAACAAATGCATCATACCCTATTAACACATAAATTAAGTATTTTTTTCGTACACCCATTAACTTGCATTTCCAGTTTCGAATCGGCACAATGCCTTGATACACTACTCCCCCTCGAGGTCATCGCGCAGAAGTAATGATCGTGACTCGCAACGTGATCGCAGCAGCAGTTCTCCCGAAATGTATGAACGCAGAAGTCGTGATCGCAACATGACTGGTGTCTCAAAGAAACAAATGCGCCGATGGCCATGTATGATTTGTAAGAAAGATCATCGTTTGGCAACATGTGATAAGTACCGAGAGTTGAGCACCCACGAACGTTTGGAATTTGTTCGTAAGCTACAATACTGTGTCAATTGTTTGGCGGTGTCGCATACCATTGCCCTGTGTAATTCTGTTAAGACATGTATAAAATGTCACAAACGTCATCACAGCTCGCTGCATCATGTTGGTGAATTTAAACCCCTTGAGAAACCCTCTGAAAAGCCAAAGGCAACATCATCAACAACAACCACAACAACGGTTAATATATTTCGCAGGCAAGTTATAATACCAACGGTACGTTTGGCATTGATTTACAATGGTATACGACGCATAGTGCGTGCTCTCATCAATCCATCACAGCCGTATACGACAATATCCGAGACGATTGTAAAACAATGTAAACTCTCTACAACGAAGATCGATGAGAAGAATATCTGTTCGATACAGCTGGGAACTGTACAAAACATCAACTGGATATTAGATGTACAGGCGCTAATGACGGATGTATTACCATTGCGGCCATATCCACAGGATCTGAAGATATCATCTCCATTTGATAGTTTGGTGTTAGCCGATCCTGACTTTTATGTCTCCGATGAGGTGCATATTGTACTGGCTGCAGATGTATTTCCGAAAATCATAAACGATGGTCTGTTGAATGATGATAGTGGCGATATTGTTGCACAGGGTTCTGTTTTTGGCTGGACCTTGACTGGATCTGTGTCGGTTTAAGTGCCAAATATAATGAAAAAAGAACATTAGAGTTACAATTTTTGAGTGAAATATCCAACATATCGGAAGTGATGTGCTAATTGGACTAATGATGATAATTCATTTCAATAATAGCAATAATAGATTAGGATTTTAAAACCAACAATAACAACATTCAGTCTTCAATGCAACGATATATAAATTATATATTTTATATACACATATATTTTAAATCAGAACAAAAAAGAAAAGTATTTATTAGATATTGAGTCGTCGTCTTGCTTATTACTAGACGTTTTAGATACCCGCTGTAACCAATTTATTCTTCCACTAATCTTAACCAAAACAAATGATCTCCGAAAACAAGAACAAAACCGAAACATTTATCAGAAAACTGTGAGTTTTAACAAAGAAATGGATTTAATATCCTTGGAAGTAATACAACCAAGTTGTAATACTTTTGTATCAGTCTTCAATCTTTAACCTATGGTTATAAAAACAAAACTTAATATTTGTAAAATATATTTACCACTTTTATGATCTCTACTCTCAGTTCTCTGATCATGTTACATGTATTTTTTCAAAACCCAATTAATTTTTTTTTTCGGGTTCTAGTTTAAGTGCAATACTTTTTAACTCTTTGTGTGAACACCAATCTTAGAATTATAGGCCTAGCCTAAAAACCGCCATACATGACTGTTTATGTACGGCATTGTAGAATTTATTTTTAGTTCTTAAATTACAACGAATTTAATATATATACAAACATAATTATGAATATTTAATCGTAACATGATATATAGTTTTTTATTTTGTTGGTTTCTTATACAAGGGTGTGAGGTAAGTTTTCAGATAACATAGACAAATGGGAAATTATCAATTAAAAACGGATTAAAATAATTTTCTGGGTATATAAAATGTTTATCTTTAGAAATGAGGTAATGTTATTGTTTAATATTCTATTTTAAGGCTACAACAGGTTTGATAATCTTGAATGGGGTAGAGATATTAAAAAGAGACGATAGATAGGTAATTAGTGGAGATAGATAAAGTATTTTTATGTAGGTGTGAAGAATATATGATGGAGACGTAGAGTCCATTGAGGTTTAGGAGCTGTTCCGATAAAGTATCCATTTAATCCCTTTATTAAAATACCAGTAGGCCTTTTCTGTAACTTTTTAACAACATTCTAAATTGTTTATTTTACAACAATTTCATTTGTTTGTTTTGTTGTTTTTACAATAACAAAATAAAATTAAAAAATATCGAATGTTGTTAAAAGTTACAGAATAGGCCTACAGGTATTTGAAAGGAGTATTCAGATTCTGAATTGAATCGTATTGTATGGTTTTGTCTCTTACAGTAATATTCAATTGTCCTCATAGGAATATTCATTATTGAATATAATTCTTTATCGTAGATTCTTCATTGGTCTTTATCAGAAACCGAGACATATTTTTATCTATTGTTTCTATGACTGAGCCGATTTTGGTAATTGGATTTATCGGTGACGTATCTATTTTGCCTGAGGAATCCTCATCCATATCACCTTCTCCCTCTATTGCCGTTTGACTCCAAAATTATGACGTTCAAAATCTGGCCAACGTTGGAAAGCGCTTTTCCAGTCTGTCCCTTGACTAAAGTGCAACGCTTTGATTACCGCGATGTCCATTGAATCTTTTTAATCCGCCAAAAAAAAGAATTAACCCATGATATAATTTAGAATGCTTTTGCTATTAAATCAGAATTTAAATGAGCTGCCATTAGTCGTATTGGAGTCGTTGTAGTAGTTCAGATTAAACTCGTGGAGGTTTTGACAGAGGGTGCCACGTCAACCACAACAGGGTTAACGATTTTAATCCCGGTCGGATGGTGGTCATCGTCAAGTCCACTTCCATGGGTTTACAATTTTAAATCGCATTCGGATGATAAGATTAATTAATTGTTCAACAGTAAATTTCAAATATATACCGGCTAATTGTTTATTCGGTGTTTCTTCATTTTGTTTTTTAGTATTCTTGCTATGTAACATATTAGATAGAGTAACTTCGGGTAATGTGGACCATGCGTCTAATGTGGACCACCCCCCATATCTAAGAAAATGCTTGAAATATTTCAATGCTGCCTTGATAAACGTTTTTGCATAATAGTCGAACACTTTGTTTTTCTCGAATATAAAAAAGTTATGTGGTTTTCTTGTTTTCAACAATATGCGTTTAGCTGTAATTACAATCGGTGATTCTTAATTTTTATTCATTTTTGATGCCGATAAATATTTAAAAATAAAAATATTCAATGTCGGGTAATGCGGACCACCATAAAAATTGTTAGCTTTTCATGAGGATGAGGACGATATGCGAAATTTCAGGTGCTTCGGATGGTTAATGAAGCAAGGACCTTCAAAATACCGTAAATGGGGCGGTACCCTTAAATTGGGGCTATTCCAAAACAAAAACCCATATATTTTTGGATTCATTGTTACCCAAAAGTGCAATAAATTGAAATTTATCACAACCAATCCACAACCTACCTTTAACTTACAGATCCTCATTACCCACACATACTGGTCCACATTACCCGCCAAGTCATTTTTATTCGCAGTTCAGAGTTTTTTGAAATATAATGCAATAAAATTTTTATAGACAAATATATATAATGTTTGACCTGGAATATATTTAACCAACAAATCTACTATGTTGTTTACACAAATTGTTTTTATATTTTACTGTTGTTACGCCCACAATATCAAAAAAAGAAATTGGTTGTCCACATTACCCGAAGTTACTCTACCTAATGATAACAAATTACAGTAGGGTGCGAATAGTGAAATAACTGTCGTTATAAATAGATAGATTAGGAACAATCAGGGTGGAGTATATATGGCCCTATAATTATCAAAAAGCCTTTCCTCCATCTAGGAAACGTCTGCATGTATTTCCAGATCTCTGGAGGTTGATTGTCACACATACATTATCTTCTGCTAGGGATGTAAGATCTTGGAACCATGTCCTATGTATAAAATAGACAATTCAATTGTTGTCTGCCTATTTAGAAGTTCTTCTAGAGAATCCCGAGTCCTTCTTCTCATAGCTTGGTTTGGATCGTCGTCGATGATATATAATATACATAGGGGGACTTTTTTGGATGAATTTCTTATCCTAAAACTGATATACATTACTTATCCTAAAACTGATATAATATTACTTCAAAACAATACACAAAAAATTATACTTCTATTTTAAAAATAAATAACCAAAAAAATAATCCCTTAAAATAAAATATTAATAAATTTGCTGTTAAAAATTTTTATTATAAAATACTGTTTGGCATGTTCGTTTTCCCCTTATCCAAAACAATAATTGGCAATCTATTACTACTACTCAATTAAATGTAAAAAAATATGTTTAAATATTCCCCCTACAAAAAAAAACTATCCTCCAACTGAAAATAAACGTTATTTTATGGTGTGTCTATGTATTAGTAATTGTTTAAATGTTAATTTATACTCTATTTATGTTAAACTCCAAAACAAAAACCAAATTATTTCTAACATTTCAAAAAAATCAAATCCAAATCAAATTTTATATACTCCACATAAAAAAATCGAACTATAAAGTTAATCACATCATGGCCAATATGCGTCGCACAAGTTCGCCCAGCGATGATCTAGGCAGTACCGATGAGGTGAAAATATTCAAAGATGAAGGTGGCCGTGAAGATGAAAACATATCGTCGGAAAATCTATTCGAAGAGAAATCCAGTTTAATCGACTTAACCGAAAGTGAGGAAAAAAGCGTAGAAATCTCCACACCGTGCGGTCCGAATCGTATGGATCATGATCCGTCGGTGTTCAATATGGGCTATTTGGTAGCGCCCTATTCATATCCGAATGCGACAATCGGCGGTTTGCCGGCAACAATAGCAAATCGAATTACCTTATACGATAGTCTTCCCCCTCCCGCGCACTGTGGCATACCGCCTTATCAATTGGATTCGAAAGCCATGGGCTTAACGAAACAAGCTATGTACTCCCTTCACCCCACCCAGTATCCTCATCCCATGTTGGGACCACCGGACTTGTCTCAAATCGCCTCCTGGCACCCGCCCTCTGTATATTCACCACCATCTAGTTTTACCATACCCAATATTTTGAATTCAGTACACCACCGAGCACCTTCCAATATGATTGGCCCCCATCATCTGCCGCTGGCGCCCAGCCTCAAAGAGGAATACGATCAGGAAACCAAAACGCCAACAGTCAATCATCGGTATTCGAAAAACCCATATAACAAGCCGGCAGCTAAGAACAGTCAACGAGGCAACGAAGAAAAGAAACCGCATATCAAGAAACCCCTGAATGCCTTCATGCTATACATGAAGGAGATGCGTGCCAAGGTCGTGGCCGAGTGTACGCTCAAGGAGTCGGCTGCAATCAATCAAATTTTGGGCCGACGTTGGCATGAACTATCCCGCGAAGAACAGAGTGTCTACTACGAGAAGTCACGGAGGGAGCGTCAATTGCACATGGAAATGTATCCGGGCTATGTCCTGAAGAACAACAAACGAAAGCGCGAGCGAACGGCCAAGAATGCCGCCAGTACAACGAAAACCATTGAGTCTGAATCGTCGTCGTCAGTCTATGGCGAAATGAAAAAGTAGTGTTCGAGCATAGCTTACCACAAACTTCACGTAAGGTGGAACGGGTGCAGCAGTTATGCCACATGTCTGTTGTCATTGGCACAAATGAAGTACAACATTGTAAAAAACATGGCGGCAAAGAAAAAGGTGATGATATGGATGTGGATGATGATGAGGAGGAGGAGCAGCAGCAGGATGTGGATGACAATGGAGGTGGCAGTGGAGACGACAAGACTATTGGTAACCACAAGACATCATCATCAGCATACAATCGAATTTGAAATCATAGTGTATCCAGTCCATGTGATTTCCCCCCTAGATGTTCTAGTACTCGTATATCAATTGATTGATGGTTCAGCAATATTGGCAATATTAAAGCAAAAACAACAACAACAACGTTCTTATGCTGTTATGTTATGTTCTACAACAAGTGCTTCTGATTTTATACAACAACAACAACAAGAAAACATGCATTATACACATATAATTCTACAAAAGGATCAACAACTTGCATCACATTAAAAAAACATATATATGGGATTTTTCCGGATTCACTTGAGTTTAACCAGGTAAAAAAAAGATATTCCATTTTATAATGATGTATCATTTTGTTTTTATGATTTTCTTTTGTTTTTTTTTTTTTTAATTATGAATCATGTTGTTAAGTATGAACGCACACATTGTTTTATTTCAAATTTAAATAAACACAACATTCTATACACAACAACAAAATTATTTAATTTTTATTATTTATTATTATTAATAATATTAATAAACATGGATGATAATTTATTTTCGATTTTGGTAACTAACTTAATATTTAGAGAGCTTTAGAGGTCTACTTGCTGTATTTATCCGGTTAATTAAGTAACTGAGTACAGCATTCAGAATTCTGAATCAATGTTGGTTAAGTGGCTTAAGTGGCTAAATGGGTTTTCGGTGTAGGATGGGTGGATTTTTTTAGATTTTTAATGGTAGTTTAGTTTATGTTAAAGAATTAACAATGAACACACTCTGAGACCTTTAGTGCGTTTAACATGAATATCTGTAAAATAAACCAGTAATGAAAGTTTAAACGTCGGGCTGACTATATATATTTGAACCACATACCATTCAGAAATATATGAAAAATTGCATACACATCGAATTCGTTGGTGTACTATTTGTATGAAATCCAGCAAACTTATGCATGTGTTAAGCTAAATGTAAACCTGGACCTAATTGAGCAACCATGGTATATACCATTTCATATACTGAAGCATAGTGCGCTGTCCACAATTTTATTACGTGTGTATGGTACAGACCTAGGCCCCTCGGCCCACCCCACCATTTACATCAATCAAACTATAATATTTGTGGGAGATATATCTAAATATTAACCGGTTTGCAACTTTAATACACATAATTCTAAAATCAACTCTGCCAAATTTCGTGTAAATCTGTCTTTTGCCTCAATCGGACATATATTGGTAGTTATCTAAATTTTTTTTTTTTTTTTTTATCGTACGTTCCCACGCCTCACTTTCCCACCCCTGCCGACCGAGGGGGCGACCTCCCCTTTCGTAGGGATCGCGTACGCATCATAATCCGCATTATGATGGAATATGAGAAGGGATAGAAAACCAGCTACAGAAATCTACTTCAACAGCCAGTTTGTTGTTAAGTTGTATTATTCATTTAAAAATATGATTATATTAGATTTTATTAGGTCTATATTCATGCAAAAGTCTACGTTAGAATACACAGAATTGAAATCAATACACATTTTACTAAGTGGATCTCCCATAGAATAATTTGTGCGATGAAAATCTACGTATAATGGTTGATAATATCTACTTGATCGAAAAGGAACATTTATTCTAATGGATGAAATTAGGAAGTCTGAGGGTATATTACCGCTTAGTATTTTAATTACTATCATAGTGTTCAACATAATACGTCTACTTTTTAATGTTGGCAATCGAATTAATTTTAACCTGCTAGTGTAAGAAGGCAACACAAAGTCACTATTCCAATGTAAACCTCTCAGCGCAAAAATTAGAAATTGTTTCTGCACTGATTCAATTTTATCGGAATAAATTGTATATTGGGGATCCCATACAACAGAACCATATTCTAATATGGGTCGCACAAGAGATGTAAAAAGTTGTTTTGTAATGTAGGGATCAGAGAATTCTTTAGCCCATCGTTTTATAAATCCTAAGACACCGTGGGCTTTGTTTACCATAGAAATAACATGATTATTAAAATATAATTTTGGATCCATTAAAATACCAAGATCAACAAATGAATCAACAGTTGATAAAACAGTACCATTAATATTGTATTGCCTTGTTAAAGTAGAAGATCTGGAAAAACACATATGCTTACATTTGTTTAGGTTTAAATCCATACAGTTTAATTCGCACCATTGAAAAAGGTTATTTAAATCATTTTGAAGTAAATCAGCTTGCTTCATGGAGTTATGGGTGATAAACAACTTGACATCGTCAGCATACATTAGCAATTTGGAGTGGATTATTGCATTTGGTAAATCATTTATAAATAGAAGAAAGAGGAGTGGACCTAAATGACTTCCTTGGGGAACGCCGGAAGGAACATTAATGGATTTGGAGAGACAATCATCAAACAAAACTACCTGTGATCTATTTCTCAAATAAGATGATATCCATTTAACTAAATTTATACTGAAACCAATTTGATTTAATTTATATATTAAAAGTTCATGGTTAACCCTGTCAAAAGCTTTACTGAAGTCAGTCGGTTTGATTACGCTGAATAAAACCTTTTATGACGGTTGAGGAAAATTGAATAAGATTGGTAATGGTTGAGAGGCCACTACGAAAACCATGTTGATATGGGCTTAAGATTGGCTGAACTTTATGAGAAATTACATCAGTAATCAGTTTTTCGAATAATTTTGGAATTGCACTTAATTTAGCAATTCCTCTATAATTCGAGACATTAGTTAAGCTACCAGATTTGTGTAAAGGAACTATATAGGATTTCTTCCAGAAGGTCGGAAAATGACTATATTTCAGGGAATAATTAAACAATAGCGTTAAAGGGATAGCTAATGTATCTGAACAGTACTTTAGAATTATGCTAGGAATGCCATCCGGACCTGGACTTTTAATTGATCTTAAATTACGTAGATTTTTAGAAACATATTGACTTTGTAAAAAAGGCATAGATATTTGATCTATCGTCGATAATTTATAACTATATGTATCTTTATTTGGACAGGGTGAATATGAATATGTTGTAGTGAAAAAATTTGCAAAGCACTCTGAAATTTCAGAGTTTTTCTCAAATGTCTGATTATTGAATTTCAAGATGGTGGGCTTTGACGTAGCTTTTCTTTTTATATTAACAAAGTCATAAAAAGATTTAGGATTGGATTTGAAATTAAGTTTAATCTTGTTTAAATAAAGATTGTAAAGTTTTCGGGACTCTGACGTATATTTAGACCTTGCGACAGCATATTTAGCATAATCTATAGAGGAGCCTGATTTTTTATATTTTTTAAAAAGTTTATTTTTATAATTTTTAATACTTGAAAGCCCAGATGTGACCCATGGATATCGTTTCGAGTTTCTAACTCTAACAATGGGAACACATTCTAGAATAAATTTATTTAGGATATAATAAAATTTATATACTGATAATTCTAGATCAATATGACCCTTACAAATAAATAATGTGCTCCAATTTACGTTTGAGATAAGTGCGTTTAGCTTTCGGAAGTCAGTTTTATTATAATTAGGAACAGATTTAAATGATATTAAAGAATTGTTGGTAGCTAAATTATTATGCATCATGGATATGCATAATGTAGGATGGTAGTTATCTTCGGGAGTACATACTGGAGGTATTCTAATAATTTCAAAATATTGTGTATAATTCACAAATGCTAGATCTAGAATTCGATCATAACAATTTGATACGCTATTTATTTGATAAAGATTTATGTCGCTAAAACGATTTACAATTTCAAAGGTATATAAGTTTACATTTGCATCAGATGTCAAAGGTGTTAGAGCCTCAGAATCTGGCAATGAAAGCCACTTTACGGACGGCAGATTAAAATCGCCGAGAACTAATATTTTGTCAGAGTCATTCATTTTGTTAGTGATTGAATTTATTGCTAACAAATGCTGATTATAAATATCAAGTTGCGATGAGGGAGGAATGTATGAGCAAGTCACAAATAATTTAAAATTTTCTAATTCAATGGATATGCAAATAAATTCGATATCAAAACAGTTTAATTCAATTAAATTAGTGGAATATTTGGCATCAACTGCAATAAGGACGCCACCACCTTTTTTAAGAACTCTATCTTTTCTAAATATTTGATATCTAGAACACAAAATTTCACTATTTAACACGGATGGTTTTAACCAAGTTTCAGAAAATACTATAACATCATAATTAAACCCAAGGCTATCAGAGAATAATCGAGTTAATTTTGTGTTTAACCCTCTTACATTCTGATAGCAAACATTGAGAAACATATTTAGTTTTTTGGCAATATTTCAGCCCTCTGAGGCAAATGAGCTAAATTTTCAGATCTTTCCAGAAATTCCTTTACAAATGCATTAGCAGGCCAAAATTCTCTCGAAATTAGTCGATGAAACATACTTTCTTCTACTACGATTTTAAAAGAT